CGATGTGGTTACGGTGCTAGATTACAGGCGTTGCTCGACGACGACCGATAGTTTCCGCGATAGAAGTTATCCTCGGATGTACTCGGCGGTTTTGCACCTTCCGCCCTTTCCTCCGAAACCCCTCCGCGATCATTTTTCATCGAAATCTATCGTGAACGCGAAACGAGATTTAACATTTGCTTGCCCTCGCCAACATTTGGAGACTCCCGGTAGAGATATCTGGTAACAAGCTGTCGAGTATGAACGTTGTTTCGCACCTTTATGTCTCGGTATATCAAATTCTATTCTCTCGTCGTCAATTTTCAAACATTGAAGTAGGTGTAAATATACAATAAACATAAAGTTTCCTATTCTTCTAAGAAACGATTGGCGATCAAAGAAGTTCTAATCATTGTAATTGTGAACCCTGACAATTGCGAACACATGCAAGTAACAATTTCTTTCGTTCTCTCATAATTTAACAATTTAAAGTGAAACAAATTATCGAGAAGACTTTGATCTTGGTACTTTAACAAACTTCTCCCTCAGCGAAGCACAACTTTGTTAATCCTTTCGGCATACTTCGACGAGTCCGACTCGTGATGAAGATTTCTATCGGGTACATAAGCTATTAGGTTATCTAGGCTATCTTAGGTTATGTATTCTATAGGTACATAACCTACCTGTTAAGTATGAATCAAACGTTCTCCTCTTCGGGCCGATATTTAAGCATTCAACCGAGTATACTAAACGCATAAAACAAGTATCAACTTTCCTTTCTGAAGGAAAGGAAAGGAAGAGTCCTAATCACCGTTACCTGCGACGCAAATGATACGACAAGGCGTTAAACAAATGCAGTGTTTATCTTGCACATAAGTACGACAAGCGAAGAAACGAATCCTTTACTTAATTTAACATGTTTACTCTCGATAGACTTAGATTTAAGCCTTGCGTTGGATGCCGAAAATTCAAACATTCGTTTGAAGTCGCGCTTAGAATATAACAATCGCAATTATTTCATAATTAAACGTGAGTTTCAGAGCTTTAACCTTTTAGGCATGACGCGCCACTATAGTGGCTTGCTCTAGTAGCTGACTCGCTCATCGTTTGAACCAAATAATCGTCTTCATATGCATTGTTCCACACTTCTTTTGTCTTCACATCGATTTACAACAGTCTACAGGGTGTCCGAAAAATGTCTCGCAATCCGGAAATGGCGGGTTCCTCGGATCATTTGAAGCAACTTCTTCCTTTACAAAAATGTTCTCCGAGGCACCGTTAACGAGCTATTAACGAAAAACAGTGACCAATAAGAATCGAGTACGGCTGACGCGAGGCGGCCCAGCCAACCAGCGCACGAAGCCCAGTTCCGCTCATTGGCTTGATCGCCTCGCGCCAGCTGAGCTCGCCTCTCATTGGTCACTGTTTTTCGTTAACCCTCTATGGGCCGAATTTTTTTCTTAAATATAACAAAATTTATGCAACGGGAAATCTATTATTATAAACTTGTATATGCTAGTTAAAAAGATATTTAACAGTTTAAAGAACTTTATTATAATTAATTCAATTTGTAACTTTGAAGTAACAACGGCTTACAATGTTTCCACTTCTTCACGTAAATGCTTAAGCGTAAAATTCCATAAAACAGTTTGAATTTGGCGTTAAACATTGATGTACGTTGCATTTGGAATTGGTTGCCGAATAGTTTTTTGTGGTCCTGAATTTTCCTCATCCGATGATAATTCGGTACTAAATTCATCGTCACTGTCAATAATATTTATGCGTCGTCTGGTAAATGTTACTGGATGACCTTCATCGGACTCAGAATCTAATAAAAAATCTTCGGATCTATTACCGCTAATGCGACTAATTCTAATTCCTCTTTTATTTTTATATGATTTTGTATTCATACTTTGGGTATTTGATAGATAAATTTGAAAATAGAAGAAAGCACAACTATTGTCCTAAATACACTCGAATCTACCACAATATTCCAATGTAACCTGAAAGTTACAAAACTGTATCATGTACAAATAGTAACAAAATGATTAATGAAATGCAAATAAATAAATTGTTATTGATATAAGAACCCAGAGCTATTATATACGTTTTTTTCTTATTTAGTAAACACCGACAGAAGCACAAATAATCTCAATTGCACAAGATGGTCCCTTTGATTTCTATCTGCAGACAACTTGCAAGGTATTTATTTTGACATTTCAGGTTAACGGTGCTGCCAACCATCATCAATATTGTTATTGGTTATTTCAGAGGCATTATATAATAATAACTCGTTAACGGTGCCTCGGAGAAAATTTTTGTAAAGGAA